CCCCAAAACCCCAAAACCCCAAAACCCCAAAACCCCACAGAAAAAATGTAATATTGATCTATTTAATAAGCCATGCCACAAAATAAACTCAGATGGCAAAGAAGATTAACTTCACAATGGTGTAGCTCCATGCTTTCCTGATGTAAGCATACATCAGAACGAAATATGATAAGACCTTCATTCATCTAGCTAGCATTGCAGGGTTCGCATTCGGGAATTGCTGCTTTAGCATCTGCATCATCGGTCCATTGGGATCATCTGTGAACATACTCATCATATTTTTCAGCATTTCTGGATTATTCATCATCTCGCTAGCCATCTTTTGCATCTGTTCTCCTTGTGGTCCGCTCATATTAGGCATTCCAGTCCCCATATTAGGAAAGCCAGCATTTTCGGTATTATTGGAACCCATATTTGGAGGATTAGCTCCATTTTGCTGCATTTGTTGTGCCATTTTAAACATCTCTGGGCTCATCATATTCATCATTGCATCCATTTGGGCATCTCCCATATTCATTCCTTGGGATTTCATCATGTTTTTCATCATTTCTGGATTTTGCTTCATCATGTTAATAGATGTGTTTATTTGTTCATCACTCATATTTTGGGCCATCCCTGGAGGCATGTTGAAGCCATCTCTATTGAACCTGTTAAACGGCCCCTCTTCCTGTTGTTGAGGGGGTTGAGCTCTAAAGGATGAACTATAAACCATACTCTGGGACTTTCTCTTCCTCAATTTTGACTTCTTCATGATGAGTTTTACTTTGAACGTACTCTTTAGGACGTTCCTCTTCATCATCTTTAGTGAACTTCATTGATGATTTTAGAACCTTCGCTCTTTTAATCTTCGGGTCTGACTCTTTACTTCCCTCTTCTTCAGCTTTCTTCTCTTCAGGAGTTTTCATCTTGGGCTCTTGCTCTTGAGGTTTTTGCTTCTCTTGTTGTTCTTTCTTAAACTTTGCATCAAACTCATCTTTGATTGGCTTAAGCTCACTATGAAGCTTCTTGATGTTCTGGTCATTGGGGTCAATCTTGTAAGCTCTCTTAATGTAAGACCAAGCTTCTAGCCCATTGTTTTGGCTTTTCAATCCTAGAGAGATTCTATAGAGAGCCTTTAGGTTGGAATTATCTTCTAGAAGAACTCTTTCTCATTGATCGATGGCAACATCGTACTCTTCCTGCTTGATCTTACATAAAGCAAGATTAAGTCTTCAGTTCATCTCAAGCTTATCAGCCTGAGGAGTCCCTTTTAAAGATGTTGTGGTTCTAACTTTGTTTATGGCCTCATAATATTTCTCAGAGGCTTTATCCAGCTCCTTATTTTTAAATAATGTGTTTGCCTTGTTCTTTAGTTCTGTCACATTATCAAATTTCTTCTGGTCATCCTTATTAGCATATGGAGTATCTTCCTTAACAGTAGTACTGGTACTAGCTGTAGGTTGTTGATATGGAGTTGCAAAAGGATTATTCATATTTGGCATCCCTGGCATTCCATTAAAATTTTGTGCCATATTTTTCATTTGATTTAGCTGTTCATCACTCATCCCGCTCATCATATTACTCGCATTTCTGAGCATTTCTGGAGACATACCACCTGCTCCCATCCCTGGCATCATATTAGAAGCTCTCCTGATGTCCTCATCTGACATTTGGCCCATCATATTTGCACTGTTCTTCAGGTAATCATTATCGAAGTTCATCTTGGTTACAGCTGTTTTCAATAAAATTATATTGTTTTGGGGTTTTGGGGTTTTGGGGTTTTGGGGTTTTGGGG